TTTAAATAATAAAAATCATAACTTTATTTAATTTTGTGATTTTTATTTCTTCGAACATTTTTGATCGTTATTTTGTGATTTTTTTCCATCATCTTTAATCGTTATTTTGGATTTTTATTTTTTCCATAATTTTTAACGTAATAATAGAGACTGCACTTTTATACCGATTGAAATCTTTTATGATCAAAAATGAAATCTAACAATTAGCTTTTAGCAAAAAAAATCCGACTTAAAAAAAATATATATATCTATATATTTCATGATTCAATGATCGGATCTAAACCAAATTACTATGGGACAACCTCTGGGACACTACCTTTCCGTTGCAAAATTATCGAAATTGGTTGACGTGGTCCAAAGTTATGCGGTAACATATATATCAAAAAAAAAAAAAAAAAATTAAATAATATTCCGACGAACTGATAACCTCCTCCTTTTTTGGAAGTCGGTTAAAAATAACGGTTATAGTGTGATAGAAGAAATAAAAATTATAAAATTACGATTAAAAATTGTAATTTTTTGTGTCGATTTTTTTATGCCATATATTTTTTTCCTAGAAATGTTAGTTTTAAGAAATGGTTCTCTCATAAATTTTTAACAATACATATGTATATGTATCGATCCCTGAGTGGAAGATGGACCAGTTTGAAAACGCCCTATCTCAGAAAACTTTCCAAGAACGCCCTACTTCAGAACAACATCATATAACAACAAAAGTTGTTTCTAAAATTTTTGACCTATGTTATGTACTATATACATATGGCCGATTATTTGACTGGCCACGTTACATTCGTACACATTTTTTCTAAAATATGGATCCACTAAAAACACAAAACCAACTGCTTTAGGTTCGTTAAAAGTCCTCCGACAAAAGGAGCAAAATATTAAACACAAAACGCAAAAGAAGCAGCTGACAGATATAGTGAATTCCAATAATCACCAATATGTTCAAAATTTGAAAATAACGATAATTTTACTATACAATTACGTATATATCGATAATAACTAAAAATAGCCTATACCACGATATATTGACTAATATTTTACATCGCCCTGTTTTTATTCTTCTTAGGTCGTCCTGGCGTGGATTACCCCATTCTCTCCGCTATACCTTACACGAATTTCTACTGTGACGAACAGGCATATCCGGGCTTTTTTGCCGACATGGAAACCAGATGTCAAGGTAAGCAGGCAATAAATAAATCTGCCTTATCCTAAGTTTCGTCTGAAAAAAAAAATTCACCCGAAAATTTGTAATCCGCCCATAGTAAAACCATGGAAACCGAGAGTGAAAAGTGAATCGGTTCGGGGAAAATGAAATTCATGATAAGGTTGAATGTGTTTAAAGAAAATTTGAAAACACCGGTTGATTTCGAAACTCGTATTATTAAATTTCAAATAAAATTTCTTTTCACTCCAGCAAGGAATATTTTGTAATTTGTTTGTTTTTTCTTGTTCTTTTTTTTATGACAGGTTGGCATTACTGCGACATCGATGGTCGACAAGCGTCTTTTCTCTGCCCGAATGGCACACAATTTTCGCAGGCAGTTTTCGTATGCGATTGGTGGTTCAATGTACGTTGCGATCTATCGCCGCGTCTGTACGCCATCAACGCACGACTCTACCAGCGTCCCAAGGTGAATCCGACACGACCACATCGCATCATTACAAAAGAGTTGGTCGATGATATTTTCAATTGAAGGCATGAAGAGCTACAGATATATGTATGATTTGTAGGATTATGGCATGGAGCAGATGTGAAAAATACATAATTTTGGGCTATGAGGGTTATCTAAAAAAAAAAAAATGTATTTTAATTTTGATGATACAAAAATTGTGAAATATAAATCTTGTATTTTATTTTTTAATAATAATCTTATAATTTAATTAAACAAAGAAATGCTGAATTTGGTGCAATTTTCTGAGGTGCAGTTAACAAATATATTCCACTATACATACGCTGTATTTTAAAAGCGTAGAAAAACTGCCACTAATTTGAATACTTACATATGTATGTAGGATACTGTAAATTATAATTTGAGTATTTTATATTTTAGTATGCAGTTCATAGATTTTTTATTGAAGAAAAAAATTCTTAGACTATTTAGCATTTAAAGTATTATGTATTCTAGCATTACAAGTTGTTATAGTTATAATTTAGTATTATTTTTAGTGCATTTGTACATAGTTACGTAGCAAAGTAATCAATATGTCTTCCATCGCGGTCAATTACAAGCATTAATATTCTTACATACATACATATGTATGTACATACTAGATGTACGAAACCCCCTCCCCCTTCTTCTTATTAAATTTGCGTGTTTATATGTAATTTTACTGCATTTAATTTGTAATTTAAGCTTAACTATTTTTGTATTTTTAAAATCCAAAAGTTTAGTATTTGTAAGCTTTTGTTTAAATTTGAGTATTAAATAAAGCTTATTAGCGAAAGCGCAAAGTGGTTGTGTTTACTTTTGAAATGAAGGCTGAATATACTCCAGCAGTACTACATAGATTTTGGCGTTATTGAAACCCAATAAATATCGCAACTTAAGAGCATTGTTCATTTTTGCATTTGATTTATTTTCTGTTTCTTTCTGATAAAAATATCACCTTGGGCTCAACCGGGATTTGAACCCGGGACCTCTCCCCCCCAAAGCGAGAATCAGTTCCATAACTTAACTGAAGGAGGGTTGCCACCTTTAAAAAAAATTAAATCGAATTTGAATTAAGGGAATTAGGTAATAGAAATATGGGTTTGCAAGGCTTTCAAAAAATCAAATTCAACTTAATTCAATAGTTAATTAAAATGCGTACCACATTTTCAGACAAAGGTTGTTGAAGTAGGTTTTAGCTACTACTTTTGAAGAAGGTTACCACCTTTTTAAAAATTCGAGTTTAATTAACTCGAAAGCGAAACAACGTTCAGAAATCTTTAGGTTAGACATTTAGAATGTTTGCATAGGGTTGCCACGTGTTCAAAAAGTGGCATTCAAATTATTTAATAAGTTGGATGACTTATTAACAAGTTTTCAATGGGTTGCCACGCGTTTAAAAAAATCAAATTCAACTTAATTTATCAGTGAATTGAAATACATAAGTATCACAATGTTAGACAAAATATATTTAAGAAGATTTGTTTGAAAATAC